ACCCCTCACATGCTGAATCCAGGAAGACAGCTGCTTCCTTCTCTGCCTGCAGGAAGTACAGTACATGATATCTGTGCTAAAGCAGAGCACACTCAGTCCTCCGCAAGCGATAAAGCAGGAGTGTTTGAAATAAAAACAACACATTTTTTCAAAATCCTCAAAAAGAATTCTAAAAGGAGGGATAGAGAGAGGAAGGGATTCGGAAGACGGCTGCTCTATAGATTTTCAGAGCGGCAAGCTTAGGTAAGCAGGTTAAGCCGCTCGTTTTGAAATACTGTACCCGACCACCAAGGACAAAGTGGAGAGTGAAGAAAGGTGGGGGAGAAAAGGATTCAAGCGACATGCGGTGCTGGGAGAGAGCTTCCTGGGTGCTAGGAACCGAAAGGAAGACGAGGAGGAAGGCGTTAGATCAAACCAAGCCTGAATCCTCTCCAGAAGTCAAAAGGACTCACCGGAAGCTCTTGGTCTTTGGGCATATCCTAAGCAGGCGAAACTCTTGGTAAGGAGAGCGATGTTAGGCAAAGTGGAAGAGAGTAGGAAAAGAGGAATGCAGAACAAGAGATGGATCGAATCGATAAAGGACACCACGGCCCGTGGTTCATGAACATCATAGGAGAGCCATTAAGGAACGGATCGTTTGGAGCTCATTCATTCTTGGGTTCCCTAAATGTCAGAAGCAACGAGACAACTCCTGACCACCACCACCACCGAGGAATTATCTATGACTTCCTCAAATGTCCACCACTGAACCGAAAATCATGGTCTGGTGCTGAGCAGTGGTCCCTCCCTCTCTCCCTCCCAAACCCCCCAAGGTGCATCCTTACGCCCACGAAAGGCACTTATGGGCGGTGTTGACCTAAGTGCAAGACCAATGAGAAACCCAACTTATCTCCTGCACTTGGAAGTCTTGCAAGGGACGGTGGGAACGCCGGCTGCCTCTCTGGGAGGATGGTTCAGCCATCCGGATCTTCACCTCAAAGACGTCTCAAAAGCCTTTACTAGGTTTGGAAGCCACCACGTGAAGCGGGAGCTTCTCAGCCCCATAGGCTGGGCCAGGGCCCCTCAAACGCACTCCACCGAAGCACAGAAGGGAAGACGGCAGGACCGAACGCCGAGCCCCTGTTAAGAGGCTCTTTACTTCTAATAAAGTGTTTTTAAGAGCAAACTTAAGACCTGGCTCTTCAGGCAGGCTTTGTCTCCTGTCATCACTTGAATATTTTCCTCCGCATCTTGAACCATATTACTATTGTTGGTTTTTTATTTTATTTTATTGTTTTTATTCTATCTATTATTGTTAGCCGCCCAAAGTAGACTTTGGTCTAGATGGGTGGGGTATAAATTTAATAGAATAAATAAATAAAAAATAAATAAATAAATAAAATTTCTCCTCTACACAACCTTTCACTCCTTGCAGGGCATTGAAGAAGGGGCGTTTCAAAACGACGCCTTCCAGAATAACCCAACCCACACGACTGGGCCACCAGAGCAGCTGTGGTCCAAAAAACAGAAAAAAGTAACTTGGGCAAATCCTGGTTTGACCCAGACCCCCCAGGGGCCTGAATAAGCTGCCCCCCCGAGGGGCGAGGCTTGCTCCCAGAGTCCGTCGGCATCCTGCTGGGACTTTCTGCTCCGAGTGCGAATCTTGCAGCTGTGCGAGCGCATCGGAAACGGGCCTGTCGCGATGCCCACCATGCCCTGATCCAACCCCCTTTTGGAAGGAGTCACAAGAGGCCACAGCTCTCGGATCCCGACCCACCGCCTCTCCCGTTGTGCCTGGAGGGTTCGGTTCCCACAAGGGGTTAAGCAAGTGGGGATTTGGGGGTAGGGGAACGGGAGCTTGGAGGTCTGCCGTGGTACCACCGAGTGTTGGAGGTGGCCAGAATCCCACGGCGGGTTCTGTGCCCTTGCCCAGCTGGGCTCACAGAGAGAGAGAGACAGAGAGAGAGAGAGAGAGAGAGGGGGAGAG